GGGGGCCAATGAGAAAAGGATTAGATGAAAAGAAAACAAAGCTTGGGGGGGTTGAAAGTATCACGTATGCCGGTGAGAATGTCGGTGTCACGACCTCAAAGGAAAAGGCAAAAAGATCCGTCTCTGGAGCTCTTATCTCGCTCTCCATCTGTGGTAGATTTTGGTGGCACGAGGAGCACAGAGGGAGAGAAAACACTTCAGACCCACTCCAAACGCGGAACAAAAAGCTCTGCTCTTGTTTTCTGGCTGGGCAGACAGGCGCACAGCATGAATAATTAACAGGGGACAAACAAGAACTATCAGCTGCCAAATCTGAAAGTTACTTTCTTATCTGAGGATGGAGTCGGCAGAGGCAATGAAGCGTTACTTTCACACAGTTAATATGTCAGAGGAGATGTTCATTTGTTTTGTGTGGACAGTTGTCTTCCTCATTTGTGCAAAGCTATTATGCTTTACAATTTCTCTTTCTGAAAAAGCTTAAACAAAAAAAAAGTTACGATGCACATTTTTAGTGTTTCTAAAGATTTACATGAAAAAAACTGCTTTAAATGACAATCCACTCTAACATATTAGGCAGTCATCTTTTCCAAGTATCACATATTGTTTTAGAAAAAACTCAATTACTTTGACAAAATGAATAAAAATGCTATTTAAAATTTTTGATTTTGTGTTTCCTGAACAGAGGAGTAATGCACATATATTTTCTTAGACTACACATCCTAAATCCACATATTTGCTTTACTCTCATGAGATACTTAGTTATTTGTTTATACGGGGGATGTGAAAGCAATACACTCTTACAGAAGTAAGTGTCGGCCCTTGCAACAGGACAGGATGTAAATGTTTAAAGTGTTTGCAGTAAAGTGGGAGATCAGGGAAGGAAACAACAGCTTGAACTATGTGAGCTTTATTGAAGTCAGTTAAAGTGTTTGTTTTTCTATACATCACTAGAGATAAGTTAAACACTGTTTACACAAATGTCCGTAATTATTAGTAGTAGTATACTTTATTGATCCCCTGGTGGGGAAATTAATTCTCTGTGTTTTACCCATCACACATGTGGAGCAGTGGGCTGCCATTTTTAAGGCACAGGGAGCAGCTGAGAAGTTAAGGGCCTTGCTCAAGGGCCCAAAGTGGAGCTGGTCGGTTCAGGTGACCTTCCAATCCCAGGCTCCTCTTCTCTAACCTCTGTGCCTCCACTCCCCATCACTTCTTAGTTTGACTGCCTGAACTGTTCCAGCGTACAGTGCACAACACTTTCTGTTGTTATAAAAATCCATCATCCATCCATCCATCCATCCATCCATCCATCCATCCATCCATCCATCCATCCATCCATCCATCCATCCATCCATCCATCCAAGCTGACTCTTACACCTATGGTGATGATCTAACTTTACATAAAGTGAACTTTTTGTATTGTGGGAGAAAACCAATGAACCAATAGAAAACCTGCACAATAACAGAGAAAACATTCAAACTGCATGCAGAAAGGCCTCAGCTGGGAGTCAAATCTGTGAGCTTTTTGCTGGAAAAAAGGCAGTGCTAACCTTTTATCCTCATGGTTAAAATGTCCATTCATCCATTTTTATCAGCTTTTCCATGCAGGGTCAGAGGGGAACCTTTCCATTTAGTCATCAGTGGTCAAAAATTGGGGTACACTCTAAAGAGGTTGCCAGTTTATCAAAGAATCACATTGAGACAAATAACTGTTCCCACTCTGTCACAACGTTAAACTTACATGGATGTTTTTAGTCCGTGGGAGGAAACTAAAGAAAGTCCACGTATGCTAATTCCAAACAGTAAGGGTGGAGTTAGGTTTTTAATCTGAATCCTCCTTGCTTTGAGTCGACAAATCTAATGAACTCAGAAAGTATTTCCTGAAAAGAGTCATTCATCGTGACTTTCTGTTTGAACGATGTGGTGCTTTAATGTACCTACAGGCTCTGGTTTTCACAACAAGTGTTTGCTCATTTATTTATTTGCTTCAAGGACTGGAACAGATATTGGTACACAAGTCTCCTGATATTTGGCACTCTGCAGATGAAACGCTGCACTAACCCCTCGGCACCGCACACTATGTAGGTTTATTAGTGCATTCCTTGATCTTCAAAGGAACTCTTTTATTTTTTCCTTACCGTGGAGTCGATCAATACATAATCACTTTCATCATTTTTAGTTGCATGAAACATTGTCACGACCTTCCAAATTCAATTAGCTGAGAATATTAAACAACATTAATAAACGCTGTTATTTTCTTTGATACTGGTTAAATCCTCTCACAATAAATGATAACCTCATTATGCTTTCTGGGACCCACAAAACCTACTAGAATGTGGCTGCATCACAGTAATATCAGAACACTTCCTTCATGCGTGAACACACTTGAGTTTTAAGGATTTTTCTGGTAAATATTCAGCATGACTACCATTTAAAAATATTCTATTCATATTACTGTGTTTTGTTGCTGCAATCAATAAGTGGATCTGTCAAACTAGATATAAAGGTAATTTATTTTCTGTACCTTCAGGTCAGATTTTAATGATTGCTTAAATATTTTTTTTGTTTGTTTAATTTGGAAGTCACGCTTTGCACTGCAGATTTTAACGCTTGTTTTTGTGGTAGACGAACACATAAAGGTCCATCCAGTCTGAAGAAAAATACTTTTTTTTCTTTTGAAGACAGCCATGTTAATTATATTTACTTAGGTTAAAAAGCTGCTGTTTAAGATAATTTCTGTAAATTTAAACAAGTGAAAGAAAATTTCTATTAAAAATTAACGCAGTGGTTAGANCCCCCCCCCCCAGTCAGAAGGTCACAGAAACACCTCATGCTCTGGGACCTTTCTGGACTTTACATGTTCTCCTCGTTCACAAGTGGGTTTCCTCCCACAGACCAAAAACACGGTGGGTTAATTAGTTTCTCTAATTTGCCCCTATAGGTGGGAGTGAGAGAGTGAATGGTTGTTTGTCTCCGTGAACGACTTGGACCTGTCCTTTGGTGCCCTCCACCTCTAGCACAGTGATTGCTGGAGATAAACACCAGCTGTCCTGCAACCCAGGAGAAGTGGGTAAAGGAAATGGATGCCTGGGTGAAATTTAATAACAGATCTGTGTTCAGATAAGAATTCATTTGGTTTCAGATCTGGGCTGCGATCCACCATTTGGCTACATTACTCTAGACTGGATTTATATGGACTGTGGCCCCTAAAACCTTTAAAATCATGCTTTTGTGTTTTAATCAAAAACATATATTTTATAAATGTTCTGAGTGAATGCTAAAGGGGATGCAAAATCCACATTTTGGCCCTTCAATTGTGAACTTGGAGTCTTTAGAAGTGCAGCAAAGTTTAATTTAGTCTCTCCCGGTGCTGTGTAGGGAGACCGGGGACAGTATCAACAAGGGACGGTTGCAACACGTCCTTTTTCTCCCAACAGAAACAAACTAGAGTGATGACACTCACACTGTACATGCTCAGATGCCCCACCTTGCAAAGAAAAAGTAAGCAGATTCAAAAACTGCTCCAGGATTTATTTAAAAAAAAACATGTTTTTGAGTTACCAAAGTAGTTTTTTGCCCAGCTTTATTTTTGTTATACTGTTGTCACTGTTTTTGTGATCCAGCTCAAACTTATATGGTTTAAACAAGTGATATGTTGACTTTTAACTAATATAGCTAACGTATACAGATCAGCTTATTTAGCTAACACACAAGGTTTTATCATGGCTGACATGTGGGGGGCAGTCCCCATACGATAAGTCCATATAAAAACAGCACATACAGATGATATTAAGATGTTGAAATTAAGTTTACACTTAAAAGGGTATTGGGTATTCATGACAATTTTATAGTTTAAAACATAAAAGTGTTTAAGACGTATTTTCTGCAGTTGTTGTTTTCAACAATGGTTTTAAAATCCCAGTTTTTTTCATTGTAAATTTTGCATAATGTAGGTGTACAGTGACAATAGACAAAACCAAAGTTAATAGCCTCCCAAATTGTTCTATTATCCTTATCTCTAAAAGCCAACTATATTTTATATCAATTAGAGTCTTTGCCATCTTTATATAAGGTCTACTCATCAAGGCAAATCTATATTCGTCATTTGATCAAAAAAGAATAAATAAAGAACACTGTAATATCATTATAACTTGCAGTTTTTATTAATTAAGCGATAACATAAATATAAAAATAATAAAACTTTTATTTACAGTGAAATGTATTAATAACAGGTTGCAACCACCCCCAAACAATGGTGCAACTGTCCCTGGCCCAGGGGTCAGTTGCAACATCTGACTTTTCATTTTCAAATACAAATTGTGAAGAATGTACATGCTTTAATCATCTATAAATGGTTTTGACTATTAACAGACCGATGTAAGTTTATTGTATTAAAATTTGGTTTGTCTAATTCAAACCATCTCTGAGTAACTGAGGCAAATGCAAAATGTGTTGCAACTGTCCCCGGTCTCCCTAGATATCTTTCTACTCTTTTTTGAGTCATATTTTTTGATCAGTTTGCCTTATTTTTTCCATGACGTTTTCTGAACTATTACAACGCAGAATTTGCGACAGAATCTATGTAAGGCTGTTGACGTATTTTAAACAATTTCCAAATAAAATGTTTCTGCGCTGCTATAGAGCAATTCATTTGCATTTAAAGAGACAGCCTCAAAACGAGTTGTTCTGAGACACGCCTCAAGACAGAGGTGAAAGAGGGGCTTGTGGAGTTACAAAGCATTGCACTTCTGCTTTCTAGTGTCCTAACCCCCTACTCAACGACTTAAATGTGGAAAAAAGAAGAATTTCAAAGCATGATATGTTTTTAAAGACAAAAACAAAGATGTGACTATTAATAAACGTACCGCTGGACTATATCTGAGTGAAAGTTCTGCTAAAATCAGCACCAGAGGTTGAAACCAGAGGCGTGTTTTTGTCGCGGGAGAGTCTCCGCCCTCCGGAGCAGAGCAGGCTGCAGGACGAGCCTCTCTCTTTCTGAGTTCACCAAACTGTTTGCTCACCAGCCTCCCCCACTTCAAACACTGCAGGCTCGTCTGAACCGGGACCGCAGAGCCCGGAGCGGTGGATGGATTTGATTCAGTCCGGTGAACATCCCAGCTAAGCGCTTTATTTTACCTGAACCTGAACGCACCAGGCTCCGGCAAAAATCTGCTTTAGAGACATTTTTCCTCAGAGGAAAACGAGAGGAGCTGATCACAGACAGACAAGAGGTTTCGGGTGGTGAGGTAAGAAACGACTCTGCTTTTGGAGAAGTGTCTCTAAGTTAAACACCGTGTGCAGATATGAAGGATGGAGCATTAGAGGTGAAATACTTTTGTTGTTTTCGGGTTTGAAACGTTGAATGGACTCATTATTTGGACCAAAGCGCGAGTTTGTGTTTCAGGGTTGTTTGTGCGCAGTGAGCTCCTGAACACTTTGGAGCAAGTTGCGTTTTCTCCCCCCACTGAAACAAAAACAAAAGAGTATTTCAAAATAAATAAATTTGTGCTTGAAAAAAAAAAGCCTTTTCTTATTTGTTTATTAAGCTGCAAGCTCAAATCAGGTCACTATAGCATTTTTTTTGTTCCTTGTGCACAAAAATGTCCATCATCTGGTTTAATAGTTTAATGCTGTATGAAGACTAAATTATTTTTTTAAAGAATATAGCCTATACATCCCTGATAGACTCCAAGCTGTCGGGCACCCTTCCCACGAGGAGGAGGGGTGGGCTCAGACCGTGGAGCGTGTCTCCTCCGCTGAGATGGAACCAGATGGACGTCAGTCTCTGACAGAGAACTACCTTTTGCTGTAGGGCAGGAATTCACTGTCAGATTGCGTTAATCAGAAGGGATGCATCATCTTTAAAAAATACTCCAGTCTTGCCTGCGTCCTGTCAGGTCTCCACTGGACCGATAATAATGGATTCAGTGGCTCCAATTGGAAAAAGGAGGACACTCTGAGCACAAGTTCCCAAAAGTCCAGTCAGGTCAGGGTTAAACTGTCATGCTGAGAAGTTTGCAGCTCACATCAGCAGAAAAGTGCAGAGTGAAAGTAAAAAAATAAAAAAATAAAAAGTTTGAACTCAATCATTGAAACAGGGATCCCATTCTGATCACTTTTTGCCCCGAGGAGATGGTCTCCAAGGGACCCATTAACACACATCAGTGTCCAGGTGAGGGTGCTCCAAGTGGAGCTTCCTGCCATTCATCCATCTCTCTCAGGAGCATCAAATCAGTCCATTTGAGCAGACTGACATAGGCTTCTGTGCTGATGAGCTGCTGAATCCTCACTTTCTGCTCGTAATTTCCCCTCAAACATCATTTCCACCCTCGAATCAAATGAAAGGAAGTTGGTAAAGAAAGAGAGGAGCGCAAAAACTGGAAACAGAAATCTGTTTGTTCACCTTGTGGGGAAACAGTTGCCTTGTCAAAGAAGAAAAAAAAACATATAAGGAAAAAAAGAAACAGTAGTATTGATGTGTTTGGAGCAGCTGCCAACACGGATGACTAAACTCCACCTGAAGCTGTTCTCTCGTCTCGGCTTGAGTCACATGAATATTGGGAAATGGAAATAGTTTTTGTTTATTTTTTCAGCTTGGTGATGGATTCAGGGTAAACACAACTGAACAACAGGCTTTGTTAACCTACAAGAGAATTTATGCATGGAGTAAAGGTTGCAGCAGCAGGAATGTATGTTTTTTTTCCCACTTACACACAGAAAAAGTGTGATTTTAATTGTGGCTTCGGTCACACATTGCTTTTAGTCCTTGCATGTGCCTAAAGGCTTCAACGTTCCTGTGTCATCCAAGCCCCTGGCAAGGACAGAAATGTGTGAATTGTCGCAGTTTCTGCTAAATGAAATGAGGTGACTGACTTAATGCCACCTGGCTTGGCAGAGCATCACTCATTAAAGACCTGAGATTAATCAGTCAGTGTGGTTCCACACAGTTGGACGCCTCCGATTTGTCTCTATATTCACACTTTTGCTCTTTCTTCCTGGCGTGCCTGTAGAATGAAGTGGCTCTGTGTTTCTTCCAGTCGTTTTACATCCCTGATTCATTCTATAAACACTCCGGGGCTTCTTTTTTTTTTTTACCTTCCCTCTATCATCTTATCTGTTATTTCTTCTTCCTCCTGTCCCCTTCCTTTTCTTCTCCACCCCATGGGTACTTCTCTCATCCACCTTGCCGAGCACGTTCCCACCGATGGCTCCAGAGCAGCATATAGTGTGGGATGGGGGGGTCATCACTCTACTACACTCACTTCCCCCCAGCACCAGCCCCCTCTATGTCAGCAGTGGTCCGTAGAGAACCTGGAACTAAATGGAGTATCTTTCTGCTCAATGAGAAAATTGCTTTTTCTCTTTTTTTTTCTTCCATTGCTAGAGAACCCCTCATTTAATGTGTGTGATGCACACGCCCCAGCCTGTAATGGGTTCAGCAGCTTTTGTTGTTGGGAGACATGAGAAAATGAAATTTGCCTCTCAGCTGGCAGAAATAATTTACTCTCAGAAAGGTGTATTTTTCACCTACCTGTTTAAAAGCCATGAGTTGGACATTGCTGGGAACAACACATCAGCACTGCTCTTGGCTTTGCAGCTGGCCTGGTGCTGAAACATTTTTTTTTTTTTTGCGATGTGGGTATAGCATACATTAGAGCCATAATTTTGAACTAGTGCAAAATTATACCCACTGAGGGTCAGAGATGTTTGAGTCAACCTGTTGCCCTCTTTCAGACTTGAGCAGCTGCTTAATTTAGATCAAACTACTTTAAATAAATATCAATAGTTGAAGATCAAAATGCTCTGTGGTGGACTTACGACCTGTCCACAGTGTGCCTGCTTCTCACACAGTGACTTCTAAAGATAAATACTAGTGATCCTTGGGACCCGGAAAGAAAAAAAAATGGGTAAAGAAAATGGATAGATGAAAAATCATAAATCATACTAAAGCAAATATAAGGCACTAGATTGGAGTTAGACTGGACTATCCATCCATCCATTAGCTATACCCGCTTCTTCCTTTCAGGGTCATGGGGGTCACTGGTTCCCATATACAGCAGTCACAGTGCTAGGGGCGGGGTACACCCTGGACAGGTCCAAGTCCATCACAGGGACACATAGAGACAAACCATTCACTCTCTCACTCACACCTAGGGACAATTTATAGTTGCCAATTAGCCTAACAGTCATGTTTTTGGTCTGTGTGGGGAAACCAGAGTACCCGGAGAAAACCCACACATGCACAGAGAGAAGATGCAAACTCTACCCAGATACCGGTAGATCCTTGGCCAGGATTCAATCTGGCAACCTTCTTTCTGAGAGGCTCTACTAATTGAGCCAATGTGCTGCCTAGACTGAACTGTTTTTTTTTTAAATTTAAAAATAAAAAATAATACCAAAATAAGTTTCTAAAAGTAGTCTGACATTTATACACTATATTGCCAAAAGTATTCGCTCACCTGCCATGACTCACATATGAGCAGTGACATCCCATTCCCAATCCATCAATATGTCGTTGGTCCACCCTTTGCTGCTAGAACAGCTTCAACTCTTCTGGGAAGGCTGTCCACAAGGTTTAGGAGTGTGTTTATGGGGATTTTTGACCATTCTTCCAGAAGCACATTTGTGAGGTCACATACGATGTTGGACAGAAGACCTGGCTCTCAGTCTCTGCCAGAAGTCTCGGCCAGTCAAGTTCATCCACACCTGACTCTGCCATCCATGTCTTTATGGACCTTGTTTTGTGCACTGGTGCACAGTCATTTGGATGGGTGAGCAAATACTTTTGGCAATATAGTATACATTTAAATTGGGTAAAATAATGGGATGCGTTGACAAAAATTAAATGCAACAAATTCAGGCCCAATGTGAAAATAAAATGTCACATTGAATGGAGGATTTAGTCACAAGTGTAGTGAGATATAGGCAGCTGTTAGTATCCCTTAGGGATCTATACCTTTTAGAGAACCCATTAATTAAAATTTGAAGCATTTAAAAGTAACCTTTTGATTATTTGACAGCATGATCCCAGGAGTGAGCGATCTGCTACCAGATGACAAATTTAAATCTATTTTTTAAAATCATCTATGATTCTCTGTCACTTTCATCAAGTTTTAGAATAAATTTGTGCTTCGATCATTTTCAGTGCTGGTGTTTGAGCGCCATTGTGTTGTGTGCGAGACGTGAGCACATCTCAAATGAGATCGACCGCAAACATTATCCCCGTGTGATCTTATCTGTAGGGTTTCATTAACTCACTGTCATTCAGCGTTTGAAGAATATTTCTCCTGAATCGTTTGCTGTCGGGCGTTTTATTGTCTGCTACAAAACGAAAAATCACTTGAAGCTTTCTGCAGCTAATTCTCACTTGAGGAGCTCCATTTGGAGTTAAAGTCTCTAATAAGGATAGAATCAACTTGAACAGAATTTTAAGAATTTCCATAAGATTTTAAGACCTAGAAAAACTCACTGGACTTTATGAATTTGCTCAGACGTACCAATGAATTTAGATGATGCTGGATAGGAATAAAAGGGAAAATTCCTGAGTTCCTGCAAGCAGCTGATATTTTTGTGTTTTAGATAAAAAAAAGCACAAAGAACGAGTTTATATTTACTCTGAAAAATGGGATTAAAGCGTGATGTGACTGATCCCACAACCCGCATCCTTTCACTGTTCCTTTAATGTCAACAGATGTTACAGTGTTGCTTAAACTGTGCAAACACATGAACAGATTGTAACGCACAGCTAAATCTATTTTCATATACATATATATATATATATAT